GAGATAGAGTGAGGTGACTTAGAAAGTTATTGTGGATAGAGAAAATAAGAGTCCTGAGGACAGATTACCTAAAGGCAGAAAACGAGAAGGAACCAGCAATGAAGGCCAAGAAAAAAAAATCCAGAAAGGTGGGAGGACAAACCTGAGGAGGTGTGTCTCAGAATCAGAAGAAGAAAGAGTTGCAAGGGGAGGTAGTGATCAAGTAAACAAATTCTGCTGAGAGGCTGATTAAGATGACTGAGAAGACTGAGAACTGATCCTCAGATCTGCAACATGGAGGTTGTTGGGGACTTTGACAGGAGCCGATTCACTGGAATGGGTGGGGGAGCTCAGACCAGTGGAGAAGGGAAGCCTGATTAGAGTGGTTTAGGGGATCATTGGAGGTGAGGAAACCCCTCCTGTAAGGAGTTTTATTACAAAATGGAATGGATAAATGGGGCCATGATGAAAGGTTTTTCCAGGATGAATGATCTGACGGCCTGTTTGTTTACTGATGGGAATGAGCCAGTAGGGCAGGAGAGGGGAGATTGTCTCAGGTGATAAATTCTTGAGTGAGTAAGAGGGAACGAGATCCATCACAAAAGTAAAGGGAGTAGGAGGAAGACAGAATATGGGTTCAGGTGCAGTTGGTTGGTGGATTTGGTGGCTAGAAAATTCATTCATTTATTCAGCAAATACTGAAACACTATGTGCCAGATGCTATGCTACAGGCAAGACATGCAGCAGTGAATGAAACAGATAAGACAAAGCTTATGCCTTCATGGAGTCTACATTCTTTTGAGAGGAGTCAAGCAATGCGTGTATTAATAGGCAAATTCATAATATGTCAGATAGAAGATAATAAGCACTATGGAGAAAAATGAACTAGGGTAAGGGGGTTACAGAGAGCTGGAGAAGAACCATTGCCCTGGTTAGAAAAGGCCTTAACGATCAGGAAACATTTGAGAATAGACCTAAAGGCAGCGATGGAAGAAGCCATGTAGAAATCTGGGGGAAGACAGTTCCAAGCAGAGGGAACAAAAAGTGCCAAGTCCTTGTGGCAGGAGTGTGCTTGGCACAATCGGAGGGATAGCAGAAGCCATCGTGGACACAGGTGGGGAGTTGTAGGAGACAAGGCCGGAGAGGCGGTGGGAGAACAGCTTACCCATAGCTCTGGCGTGAAGATTTGAGCTTTACTCTGAGTGAGATGTGAACCCATAGGAGGGATTTGAGCAGACATGTGACATGATCTGACTTACATTTTAAAAGGACCCCTTTGGCTGCTGTGTGGATAGGACCATGGGAGGCAAGGATGGAAGTGTGAACCCATGTAGGAGACAACTGCAGTGATCCAGGCAGGAGATGGTGTAGTTCTCCTCCGATAGCTTCTATTTTCTCTGTAAAACAAGAGGCAAGAACTTCATATGACAGTGAGGAGGGTATGGCAGAGGCTTGAGGAGAGATGAGAAGGTATGACAGTCATGTGGAAGGTATGGTAGGATTGCTGCCCAAGCAGCTGCTATAACGAGCAGTTTGCTAACATGCCTACTTGTCTCAGAATCTGCGGGACCCATCTGGCTATGCACCTCTCTTCCTGGTGTCCAGTCTTTCTTCCTTCACCCTGTTTCCTGTCCTCTGACTCAAGCTGGCCTCCAGTTGCCCTTGAGAACCCAAGCATTTATGAAGAAGACTATGACAACCTGCTGGTACATCCAGCTTCTTATACCAAAGTCTGCAGTAAGAATTTGAGGGGTGCTCTGAGAATGCTCAGTTCTCCTCTAGAGACTGCTCTATATCTGATTATTCGTTCTCCCACCTTGCACCCAGCAGTCAGTGAGGGAGGCCCGCAGAATTCCCATGCTCTTATTTAAGACTACTCTTTCTTACCCATGATGCAGACCTCAGCAGGATTTGAGGGAGACCTGGAGGGTTCTGCATGCTCCTAGCAAGGCCTCCACTCCCTGCCTCCATGACACTGCTCATCTCACAACAGACAGCCTAACAGGACAGTCCTAACAAGAAGCCCAAATTAGAACTGATGACCCTTTTTTCCTGAAATGACTAGTAGGGCTGATTTCATCTTGACCCATATTCCCCTTTAACTTGATCACCATGAGAATTCCAAGACTCTATAAAATGATGGAAAGAGATAGTGAAGTAACTGGAGATGTGTGCCTAGTTAAAGGAGAATTTTTTCTTTAGTGAGGAAGGAGAAATGAAAGATAATAGAAAGGGGATCATTCATGAAGGAAGTCCTGAAGAAGCCAGGAAAGTATGAGATCAGAGCACAAGTGAATATATTAGTCATGGACAGGAGAAGTGACACAGCTTCTTCTAAGAGGTGTGGGAGGGAGCAACTGACGAAAAGTTTGTACGTGAGGGTCAGGAAGTAGAGGGAGTTCCTGTCTAATGGTATTTATTTTTCCAAAGGAGTTAATCTGCTGTTAGTGAAGACTGATGGGGTAGTGGGGAGGGGCAGATATAAGATAGCTGCTATGTGGAAGATGGCGGCTAGTCCTGGAGAGCAGTGTGGTATTAGGGCTCAGCTGAGGTTGGAGACCCCTTATGTGTAGTGATGACAGTATGCACTGTTGTGAGATTTTCTCCACTGACACTCAACTCTCCAGGGCAGAGGCAGATGTTTGAACTGATCCAAGACCAGGAACTTATGTCAAGTGGAAATTATGGAATAACTTGGGGTTGAGCGGGTGTTGGTAAGAGAGCTGTTACAGTGGTCTAGGCTGGATAGGAAAGGAAGTGAAGTCAAGAGAGGGCTTATGGCCTGGGAGAAAGAAGAGGCCAAGGGACCAGAGGGCACGAGGAAGTGGAAGCACAGAGGAGATGAGAGCAAAGGAATGGGGCAAAGAAGGATAACATATGGTTGCACAGGGTGGGATATTGGAGTTTTAGATTTCTGATATGGAACAGTTCTAGGGGCAGGGGATCCAGAGTATGGCCACCAGAAGGTGTTGCTGAAGCGATCTGAAAGTAAGTTTCTATGAAGCTGAGGAGGTGGAAGTGCTCCATGCATGTGGGTTAGCGTGCTGGAGAGTGGACAATGATTTAGACTACGAGGAGTTGACAGCATGAGACAGAAAGCATGAGATACGATAGCATAAGATACAAAGAAGGAAGAGTTTTTGCATGAAGGTGGAAGAATAATAGTCTGAAGTGGCAGTGAAGAGCTAGAAAAATGTAAACCCCTTCCTTTTACTTCATCTTCCTGCATTTGGTTTAGACCCTTTATCATCCCATTTGGATTACAGAAATAACCTCCTACTTGGTTTCCCTGATTTTGGTCTTTCTTCCATGTGTCCATCATAAACAAGACTGCTTCCTTAACCTTTGAGAACAGCCTTGACAGCCTTTCATTCCTGCTCAAAAATTTCAGTGGCTCCCTACCTGCCTAGAGAATAAAATCTAAATTCCTTAGCCCCACCCTCGAAGTTCCAGGCATAGAACTGGCTTCAATCTACTACTTTGTTTTATGTATCTAGTTTGAGGCAATATCAAGTATTTAGCTCGTATTGGTTTCAACTGTACGGTACTTTACCTAATCTTGGAGGGCTTTCCAGAAAGTGGTTTTGTAACTGGAATGGTCTTCCCACTCCTCTCTGAATGTTCAACTTCATGCATCCTTCTAGGGCTAGTTCAAATGCAGATTCTTCTCTGCCTCGTGACATCTTTCTTCTCTGTCCTTTTTATGTAAAAAGTCCTCTTGAAGTCCTACATTCTAGCTAGTCATGTGCCTAGTAAGAAAGAATCATGCCTAATTTATCATTCACCCCAGCTCACAACACTTAGCCCAGCATCTTGCCCTCTGTAGGTATACAACATCTGCTGACTAAATGCACTCACACATCCATGAAAGGATGAGTGGAGCTCTTATAATGTTGTAGTAATGTTAAGTATCAGAATCCTTCACTAGAGGATGATCTCAAGGTTCAGGGTTGATACTATATTTTTTATCCTCAATACTTAGCACTGTTCTGGGAGCATTATAAGCTAAGTACACAGTAGATACCCAGTAAAATCTTGGTAAATGGAATTGAATTAGGTGGCTTCACATCTAAGTCATTCTCACCGTCTCAATCCCAAGTGCTCTAAAGAGTAAACAGCATCCCTGACATGGCAAATAGCTGTTTATATCCTGAAGTAAATAAAATGCTGACTCTTAGAACTGGTAGCAACCCTTTTAACAGAGAGCTATTCATTTATTTACTCTTTGATTTACTGAATCGTATCATAAGTTGTGATTGATGTATGTGTAGTAAATTAATTCCAGACACAATGGGAAAAAAGCAATCTGTGAGAATAAGGAAGTAAAAGAATAAGCTTGGTTTATTGCTGGGATTGAAATACCCTTTATCTCAAGAAAATGAAATGCATTCCTATGTCCTATTTTGGCTATAGGATTTTCTAAAGTAAACTTTTTTTTTAAGGAGCATCATTTCACAGTAGCATTGAGAATATTCTCTAACACTATTGTATTAGTCCGTTTTGTGTTGCTTATAACTAAATACACAGAACTGGGTAATTATAAAGAAAAATGAAATTTATTGCTTACAGTTTCTAAGGCTGGGAAGTCCAAAGTCCATCTGATGGTGGTGACAGTGACCCAGGGATCTCACATTGCAAGATGGTGGAAGCAGAGAGAGCAAGAGAGAAAGACAGTCTCTCCTCTTCTTTTAAAGCCCTCAGAACCATGCCCCTGACCACCATTTTAAATCAATTCTCTATGGCCTGGTCCTACAATCCAATCACCTCTTCAAGGCTCCACCTTTCAACTACCATAATAGGATCTCCCATCCTTTAAGAGTCACAGTGGGAGCTAAGTTTCTAATACATAAAACTTGGGGGACACAATTCAAGTTTCAGGGAGTTTTGGGGGAACATAATTCAGTCCACTACAACTATACAATTGAAAGGAAGCAGGATTTACCAGGCATGATGAGTCTTCCAGAAAGCAGATATTTCATGTTTTTATAAAGTAACCTCTCTTTTTATTCCTGTTTGGCCAGGCTGTGACAACATGCTGATGGGCATAAAGTCTCTGAAAATAGTGAAGAAGACTATGGACACAGATGGCTCTTGGATGAAAGATGCTACCAGTAACTCTCCAAAGGTATATTTCTTAATTGGATCCAGAAACAACACTGTTTGGGAATTTGCCAACATGCAGGCATTCATGGAGGATAGCACCAAGACAGTTCCCCGGAAGCTCATCCTAACACTTTCCTGGCAGGGAACTGGCCAGGTGATCTACAAAGGTTTTCTATTTTTTCACAACCAAGGGACTTCTAATGAGATCATCAAATATAATCTGCAGAAGAGGACTGTGGAAGATCGAATGCTGCTCCCAGGAGGGGCAGGCCGAGCACTGGTCTACCAGCACTCCCCATCCACTTACATTGACCTGGCTGTGGATGAGCATGGGCTCTGGGCCATCCACTCAGGGCCAGGCATCCATGGCCATTTGGTTCTCACGAAAATTGAGCCTGGCACACTGGGAGTGGAGCATTCCTGGGACACTCCATGCAGAAGCCAGGATGCTGAAGCCTCATTCCTCTTGTGTGGGGTTCTCTATGTGGTCTACAGTTCTGGTGGCCAGGGCCCTCATCGTATCACCTGCGTCTATGATCCTCGGAGAACTATCAGGGAGGAGGACCTGCCCAACTTATTCTTCCCCAGGCGACCAAGAAGTCACTCCATGATCCATTACAACCCCAGAGATAAGCAGCTCTATGCCTGGAATGAAGGAAACCAGATCATTTACAAACTCCAGACAAAGAGAAAGCTGCCTGTGGAGTAATGCATTACAGCTGGAAGGGACAGCACCGTGGCACTGACAGCTGCTCTCTAGGACACTGAGGCCACAGCCCTTTCACAATACAATATCCCTCTAATCACACACACAGGAATAGTATCTAGAAGTGAGAATACACATGCATCCTTTCCCAGATGTCACTGGTATCTTCCCAGAGCTTAGATGAGAGTCTATCATTAGGAAATTTTCAACAATGTCCATTACTTATCCAAACCTCTTTGCTCTCAAGGCTTACCACATTCTGATCCGGCTTCCAGATGTCTCTTCTACTGCTCTCCAGCATTTACTCTAACTCTGCCCTCTTCTCCCCAACACTTAGAATTGTATGCCATCCTCTAATATTGGCTTTTCCCTCCTCTGGCCTTTGCTAAAGCTTCTCCCTCTTTCTTAAATGCCTATTGATATTATTACATTTTTCACTGCCCAGTTAAAGTACTATTTCTTATTGATGTTTAATCTCTATTTACTCTAGCCCTGCCCATCCACCAAGCTAGGTGGATGTAATAATAGAATAAAAACATTAACATATGAATACCACTTTCCAGTTACAAAGTGTTTGCTCATCATTTAATTCTCATCTCGCCCTTGCAAGATATGCACAAGTCTTTACAATTGCTGTTCTAGAGGTGAGGAGAGTTTATTTAGGTGAGTCATTCAAAGTAATATAACTACAAAGTGAAAGGCAGAAAATACTACAAATTCCATAGTATTTCCATTGCCCAAGGAAGCATCAAATATGTCTGTTTGCCCAGCCTTTTATAACCAATGTGTTCACCATTTCAGCCTAAAAATAATAGTCTGTCCCTTTAGCAAGTTTTCATGTCTGAACGAGACCTTCCTACAGGCCTTTCAAAAGCTGCTTTCTTCAGAACACCAGTCTAAGGGCGAGGATCCCACCTCTAGGTTCATCTTATCTTACTGTCCTCTGCTTCCCTCTTGCTTTAAACACAATAAAAGTGACTCTAAGCAAATAACCTCATCAGGTTATATTTGCCTAGATACCTTCAGCATAAATCTTTCAGGGAGTTCTTCCTGTGCTGGATTTACTGTAATCAATCCCCAACACAATGAGGCCCTTGGTAAATATTCTGGAATCTGGATGGAAGCCAGCTAGCAGGCAAGTGACTCTGCCGCAGCAGGCGTGCTGTGTGGCACAGAGGGCAGCGTGCCTCTCGAGAGGGGCTTCTTCAAAGTGTTTTCTATGAGTTTGCTCAATTCAGCTGAGTTCAGGTCACAAGTGCAGGCTGTGGTGCCAGTCTGTGTCACGTGCTGAGGTCTCTGTCTCTCCAGGTTGATCACATGAGAGGGTTTGCTTGTTGTGCTTGCAGCTGTTTTCTCGTCTTTGCCAAGCACAGGCTGGGACCATAGGCAGTAAGGAGAGATCTTTATTTTTTTTTTTTTCACAGCATTAGAGTAGATCTTCAGCAGAATGGAATTACTCAACCCACAGACACAGCATAATTACCACAGTTTTAACAGAATGGTACAGAGAGCCCAAATCTTTGTGGAATGAGGCAGGTGTGAATAAATAAAACATGGTGATATGACCGACTGTATGGATTTGGGGACATTACCTGCCCCATGGGTAGAATAGTATTACCAATTTCACAGATAAAAGGAATGTGGCTTGCCTCACAGAGGAGGATAAAGTGGGATCATCGTCAGCAATGAGTCCAGCACACATAGTTCCTTTGGAGGCACTGGAGGGAAGTTGCCTGTAATGTGCTGTCTGTCTTCCATCTAGGATATGCTTTGATTTGACAGCTCTGCAGGGCACACCTGCCCCCAACAACTCACCCTGGTGCCTGAAATCCCTGTAGGATTTCACTCTTTTAAGTCAACACATTTTCTCCAGGTAGCCCCTGGAAATGTGTCATTTTGCCTCCTGGGAGCCAGGGTATGACAGCCTGAAGGCCTGGGAACACCTTGGGCTTC